TGTCTTTTAAATGTCAGCAGCTACAGTTTTTGTAGCTGCTGACTTTTAATAAATGCAAAAACAACTGGAACTCCGCTTTAAGGCAAGCCAAGGGCCACATCAGGCCCCAGTCTGGAGACCACTGCTCAAGACTAAACAAGCATTTAACCTTTGCAGGGGACCCTACTGTAAGGGTAGTTGTTTTTTCCTACTTGGAGTGGGGCTTCAAAATGGCAAGCAAACCTGTACCAAGAGAGTCATGCAGACTAGCTATCAGAGTAATGACACTTAGAATAATGGCATTTGCGCAGGGACTCGTGTGCACACCCAGAGTCAGTATCGGCACCAGATGATCTATGATTTAACTCAGTGGCAATGCTGATGGGTCTTCTTCGTGTTTCTTGTTTCCTGACCAGGGGCGGACTGACCATTTGGAAACTCGGGCACTGCCCGAGGGCCCGGGGTCATGAGATGCGCCTGGTTCCTTTTTCATAGGCTTTTTTTGAGTTTGGGCAAGGACACAGGGGCCCCATGATCCCCTATTGCCCGGGGGCCCCATGAGTTGTCGGTCCCCTGTTCCTGACTTGTGTTCAGCACGTGTTTGACTCTTACTGACTCAGCTTCCTCTTGACCTTGTAGACAGGGCCTGACACCACAACTTGCCTACATGTCCTCCACGAGGCCTGACTAAGGCCTACTCCAGGCCACACATAGTTCACAGCCCTCTAAGCACTCTTCTTCACCATTACAGCTGCACATATAGTGTGCCTCAGATAAGATGCTGTACTTGCAAACGCTCAGTACCATTGGATTAAGCACGAGATCATGTGAAACGCATTAACAGGTCCTGTATTCATGTCCTGGTGTTTTGTGTGTACTATGGATCAATAAATACACACTATATTCATCTATCCTCCGGTGTGCAGCTGACCCTTCTTCCTATTACGCTCAGTACCAAGACAGGTTCACCTAGCACCCAGGGCAAGGATGTGGAACTTCGCCCCTTCCCCCACTATTATTGCATGCTGTAGAATAGGTTTACTGCCCTGTGTCCATTCTCTGCCTCTTTGCTCTGCTGTGCCCAGGAAATCTGCCTCTCCTGCCCACTCCTTGTCCCGGCCCTGCATGCACTCGCCATACTCCTGGTCTCCCTTGGCAATAATGCTACTCTGGCTGGGGGTACATCTTGTACGGGGCTGACTTCTTGCACATGGTTACAGGACAGGCTTCCAATTATCTCATCCACCACAACCCCCCAGCCCGACCAGGTTTACATACAGTTGGGTACACTGGGTTGCCTCTTCACCATGTGGGTACGTCATGAGGTGCACTGTCTGCTATGGCTTATCGGTGTGCTTTCTCACTTCACAAAAGCAAGGTTACTAAGGTTCCACTTCAGTCATAAGCAGCCATAGGTTCAGTCCAACTCAACTTTATTGGCATAGTTCTCAGCTCAAGTCCATTTAATCACATCTTCTCAGATAACTATTCAGCAGTTCAGCCCAGTTCAGTAGTAGGGGGTGCCCAGTAGCAGGGATCTCCATTCCCGGGGTAGAAAAGGACAGGTCATGGCTCTCTCCCTGGCTGCTCTTCCCACTACACAGGCTAGTCTTTTTACCCCTTAATTAGACTGCACCCCAAGTATTTATATGATCCTTCCAAGAGCAAATGAAACCATTCTCCTTCTTGGAAGGATTTTAAAGGAGCATTGCTCTTAAGTGGGCGACATAGTGACCCCTGCCTACAACCTAATTTTGGATCCTGATCTGTACTATTGCTCAACCAGTTTAGGACCTTAACTTCATCCCGTACCTTAATCCAGTTTCTGATTTGATAATGCACTGCCCGCTCTTTGCTGACCCGCCTTGATCTGCAACTTCACTAATACCTCTGATTTTTTTTTGCTTGAACCGTGTCCACTTCCAAATTCAGGTCCTGCCACCTACCTGCTTGTGTCATTGGTAAACCCTCAACTATCTGTTGATTCACAGTTCCTCTTTAACTCCTGCTGGTTCTTCTACTGACTCCTTGCCTGATATTCCTGCCCGCATGTGCTTCCGGATCGCTCTTTAGAGGGCACTGCACTTTGGACTATATATTGGTCAGTACAGGTCTTCTCTAGCAGGTTTTTGGACGGGAGTTTTTCTCTGAAATTTTTGTTAATTGATTGATCACTATTATGCTTGTTTGTATGTTTTTTACTCTATATGTGGCTGTGGTATTTAAATTATTGTTGTTCTTTTACCAAACAGAGGGAATAAATAATAAGCAATTATAAAATATTTTGTTTATTTCTAATTGCAAGTGTTTTCATTTTTGTTCAATATAACATTTTTGATAATTTTTTGTGGATTTATACTGATGTGTATAGATAAGCCAGTATATCATTGGTCCCATATATAATATTAGTTGTAAGGTATTATACAAAGTAATAGACCCCATATTAAGGTATGTGCAGCTGTGGGTGAATAGTGTCTTTTTGCCTCCCAGTTCCAAACTAACATATATGTCAAAATAATAAATATTAGAATTTACACTGAGGCCCTAAGATCTGAAATGCCAAAAAAGATTGGTAAGCTAGTGAGAACAGAATGGTTAGCTATAAAATTAAAACCCAACTCTTGAAATTAAAACTTGTAGTGGGGTATTGCAATGATTAAATGCTCATTATATTTAGGGGATGGAGGAACCAAGTAGGACTGCCCTATCCCGTGCTCCGACCGTCTCCGGCGCTGCCCTCTTCTCCCTGAATCTCCAGTCTGTGGGATGTCCCTTAACATTATCGACTACAAAACAGGGCTGTTAACTGAATTCTACATGGCGTGTGACATGGCCATTGGAAGGACCCTACTACAGTGTGGACTAAGGTATTTCTCCTTATTCTGACACCCCTACAACAAACCAGCATTTAACCCTTAAACTGGAACTTTCAACATGTCTTTAATTCAGATATTCCTTATGTTAAGATCAAGATAGTAGGGAGGTTGCAGAGAGACCCCATCAAACGTTTATTATGAGACCTGTGACTGCTTTGCTACAGCATGAAAAGGGTTTTCTGTCAAACAGGATTCTCCTCCAGGCAGGTTGAGGAGCTCCAGGGTGCATGTCTCATTCAGAGGAAACTAGTTTTATCAGTTTGATCAGCGATTGGCAAAACCTGCTCCGGGACTTCACAGAGACCTGGAAGAAATAAAGTCTCCAATCCTGAGTCCTGGTTTTGTCAACAACCAGCACACCAATTGGTCAGGTGTGGGGGGGGGGGAGGTTATTAAAGATATGACTAGGGTCCAGGGCTCCACCCTGGCGAATAGAAAAGGTCTCTGCCCAGGAGTCAGGAGGGCTCCATCTAGGAGACAGATGGGAGCCAGAGATGCAGGGAGATGATAGGTAAATATACTGATCTTGTATGAGAAGACTGTCTGGAGGAGACCCACAAGGGCGTGAAGTGTGATGCCAGAGTAGTAGCGCTGCAAATGTAAGCTTAGAGGCTGATGAACATTGTGTCAGTACTCACATCTGAGTGATGCATGAGCATCAAGTTTTAGCACTTTTTACGTTCACTTTTGGTGCGACATGTAGGGTAATCGAATAACTTGAATGGGCTTAAAAAAATACCAAAATTGCTCCTGTAGCCTTTTTTGGAGCCAACTTTGGCCTGTTTTTGCATAGCACATTTCTGGGTGTTTTGTTGCAGGACAAAACCCCCATTTCTTTAGCAAGTTTGGGGTGCCATTAACAACGTATGGCATCCAAGTGTGCATTGCGCATTTTGGATGGATCGCTCTTAGCTCATTCCAGAAAGGCGGCCAGAATCTGCAACTCTGCCCGCAAATTGCAGGCTCGACTTAAGCTGCCCTGTCTGTGTCTATTGATACAGAGTGGGCGACTTGGCCCCACCGCCCACTCCCTTGTCACAACATTTGTGTAGCACCTAGTTAGCTAGGGGAAGCTCTAGCCTTAATTTTTAGATAGAGGCTGCGTAGCAGCCTGGGTGCAATAGTCAGAAGGTCAAATTTTGGTGAGAGGCTCTGCAGATCAGCTCTCTGGAATTTCCCCCTGTTCTAGCACTTTGGTGAAAGATCTAGAAGCAGTGGGTGGATGTAAGGAGTGGCTGGTCTGTACTCTTAGAGGATCCTGACCAATCCCCAACAGGAGGCTTGGCAAGGGGCCAAGAAAGCAGTAACCAAAGAAAAGTAACTGAGCGTGCTCAGCAAGGGGAGAGTTGGAGGAGAGTTTGAGTGGAAGATAAAGAGGAAGTGAGGCTGGAGAGAGGAGCCTGGAAGGGGGCCCAGATGAGTAGAGACTCACCGACAGACAGAGGATGTTGGAAGGAGGAAAGCTTGAGACTTTGCCACCCCCCTGAGAGAGGACCACCTGTGAGGTAGGGAAGGAGTGGCCCAGCTAGAAGGCTGGTAGCAGGCACCAACCCACCAGCAACACAGGAGAAGAACTGCACCCCCTGGGCCAGATAGGGAAAAGAGGCACTCTGGTGGAAAGCCAGATTAGCAACTACTTGAGACTGTCTTCTTTTAAAGTGACAGGCACTGAATCCCCTGCTCAGGGATTCACCCAAAACAGCTGGATTAGGAGAATCTGGGATCTGGGGTGGTACAAGAGGAGATACCGTATTTTTTGCTCCATAAGACGCACTTTTTTCCCTCCAAAAAAGGGGGGGAAATGTCAGTGTGTCTTATGGAGCGAATGTAAAGCGGCCAGTCTGGTATTTCTGCCGCCACCATGTCAGAATATCAGGCCGGCCGCTCAGCTCTTCTCTCCTGCAGGGCCTTACCTGTTCCTCGCTCCAGCGATGCAGTCTTCCCGCTGCAGCTTCTGTGACAGCCGGGTGCCCACTGCGCATGCGCGAGAAGCTCTGTGCTTTGTGAATGGTCCGGTGTCTTCTGGGACACATGACAGGTCCCAGAAGGCTCCGGGCCATTCACAGAGTGCAGCGCTTCTTGCACATGCACAGTGGGCACCCGGCTGTCACAGAAGCCGCTGCGGGAAGAAGAAAGGAAGGACAACTCCGCGGAAGTGGGAGCGGGTACCTGTCAAATTCAGGTACCCGCTCCCCCTCCCTCCCCAGAGGGACAGTCTGCAGTCTCTGGTCATGGTCATCCCTGTACTGTCTGCAGTCTCTGGTCATCCCTGTACTGTCTGAAGTCTCTGGTCATCCCCTGTACTGTCTGCAGTCTCTGGTCATCCCCTGTACTGTCTGCAGTCTCTGGTCATCCCCTGTACTGTCTGCAGTCTCTGGTCATCCCCTGTACTGTCTGCAGTCTCTGGTCATTCCCTGTACTGTGTCCACAGTCTCTGGTCATTCCCTGTACTGTGTCCGCAGTCTCTGGTCATCTCCTGTACTGTGTCTGCAGTCTCTGGTCATCTCCTGTACTATGTCCGCAGTCTCTGGTCATTCCCTGTACTGTGTCCGCAGTCTCTGGTCATTCCCTGTACTGTGTCCACAGTCTCTGGTCATTCTCTGTACTATGTCCGCAGTCTCTGGTCATTCCCTGTACTATGTATGTACGTAGTCTCTGGTCATCTCCTGTACTGTGTCCGCAGTCTCTGGTCATCTCTTGTACTATGTCCACAGTCTCTGGTCATCTCCTGTACTGTCCGCAGTCTCTGGTCATCTCCTGTACTGTCCGCAGTCTCTGGTCATCTCCTGTACTATGTCTGCAGTCTCTGGTCATCTCCTGTATTATGTCCGCAGTCTCTGGTCATCTCCTGTACTTTGTCCGCAGTCTCTGGTCATCCCCTGTCCTATGTCAGCAGTCTCTGGTCATCCCCTGTACTGTGTCTGCAGTCTCTGGTCATCCCCTGTACTGTGTCTGCAGTCCACTGGTTCAGAATATTTTTTTCTTGTTTTTCTCCTCTAAAACCTAGGCAGGTCTTATGGTCAGGTGCGTCTTATGGAGCAAAAAATACAGTACCTTCTAGCTCTCCAAGAAGAGGATTTTTGTGTAAAGACATGTACTTAGTTCAGGAAGACTGTCCTCAGTTACAGTTCCTTTGGGCATCCCATACACCCTTACCCTATCCAAGTTACAATCCCCTAATAAAATCACAAAAGCAAAGCTCAAGGACTGGTTACTGCCTCCTGAATGCAAGTCCATGTGAAAATGTGTGTTACCTGGCTGTGCAGGACTATAGGGGGACCCAAAACTTGTCTTGAAATGTCTTGAACTTTGTTTTATTAAAATTGAGAAAGAAAATCCTTTAAAAAAAATTAAGTGTGTGGCTGCGTTCTTAAAGCGGAGCTCCACCCGAAAGGTAAGTTCTGCTTTAAGGCTCACCCTTTACGGGTTGGTCTTTGGGGAGCCCGGGGAAAAAGGGGAATACCCGAATTTGACAGGTACCCGCTCCCACTTCCCTTGTGATCGCTCGGTGATTGGAAGCGGAAGTTCTCTTCCCTCCCCATAGTCTTCTGGGACACATGGCAGGTCCCAGAAGACTACAGGACCATTCACAGGTACCTGCTCCCACTTCTGGATCAGTTATCCGCAACAAATTGAGCCAGACGTTTGGCCCCTACTTCTTCCCACAGTTTCCTGGAAACTTTCACAGGTCCCAGAAGACTGCCAGACCAATCAGGAGGCACAGAGCTACTCATGCATGCGCAGTGGGCACCCGGCTGCGAAGCCGCAAGCTGTTACAGCCGGGTGCCCACACTGAAGATGCCAGCGCCAAGGAGACAGAGCGGTCAGGGAACCTGGTTGGTGTGAGGACACCGTGGGATCGAGGGACAGGCGAGTGCCCGTTTTTTTTAAAAGTCAGCAGCTACAGTTTTTTGTAGCTGCTGACTTTTATTTTTTTAAATCCCGACTGGAACTCCGCTTTAAGGGTGCATTCATACCTGAGCATTGCAACATGTTTTTTTTTTTTTTGCTGTGTTTTCTGGCACATTTGCCACCTGACAACTTAGTGCAGACCAACTCAGCGACCAGACTCATCCACCTCACCAACCACTCCACTTCTGCCACCCCCCTCTGTCATTCCCTCCACTGGCTTCCGATTGCCCAACGCATTAAATTCAAAATACTAACACTGACATACAAAGCCATTCATAACGATGCCCCAAACTACCTCACCGACCTGATACCCAAATACCACCCAACCCGTACTCTTCGCTCCTCACAAGACCTCCTACTTTCTAGCTCCCTGGTCTCCTCCTCCCATGCCCGACTGTAGGACTTCTCCAGGACTTCCCCCCATCCTCTGGAACTCGCTACCCCAATCCATCAGACTGTCACCTACCCTCCTCACCTTTAGGCGCACCCTGAAAACCCATCTCTTCAAGGAAGCCTACCCCACCCTCACTTAACAGCCGATCTCCTCCACTCCTCTTACCACTCCATCCCCCACGGCCACTTCCTCCTGTACCACTATCCCCTCCCTCCTAGATTGTAAGCTCCGAGGAGCAGGGCCCTCAAACCCCTCGTGTATTGTTTTGTTACTGTATTGTCTCATGTACTGTCCCCCACTATATTGTAAAGCGCTGAGCAAACCTTTTGGCACTATATAAATACTGTATAATAATAATAATAATAATTCACTAGAATGGGCTGTTCTACACGTGACAAATAGTTCATGTAGCTTTTTTGCCACTGAGTCAAGTATGTTTTGCATTGCGCATTATTTTGCATTTTTTACACTTTTTATTGCATGACAAACATGCAGCAAAAGGCAGGACTGCTACCCAGATTTCGGGTGCCATTAAGAAATAATTGCACGCAAATAAATGCGTGTATTTCCGTGTTTCTGGACGCACGTTTCTGCCTGTGTTCCCAGAACGCTTAGCTGTAAATGCGGCCTAAAGCTGTACAGTTGGAAGCTGGTTCCCACAGGCCCCATGATCTGTAGTTACTCCCTTGCCTGTTTCTGCACACTAACTGACACACAATACTAACGTGTTATTTAGCTCAGCAAAGATCTTTCAGATGTTGAATGCAGCAGTCGGAGCTGAAATTACCGTGTGCTTTAAAATAAAAAATGTTCCCCTGGATATAAATATATACAGTATAATCAGGTTTCCAGTCTGTAAGGCACAGCGATGAGGCTGGAGGAGGAGTTGGGGGTAATTTAAGGGGGTTCCCATCTTTCTCCTAAATTCATCAGCAACCGTACGAAAAAACCATCAGAAAAGTCATGCCATCCTTTAATTCTCCCATAAACACTTGCACGGGAACCTCTTCCGCATACATGCTTGTTTGGGAAGGTTCATTCAACTCCTTGCTACAAATCCATTAGCTCTGTGAATGGACATTGAAAGCCTTTAAAGGGCTTTCTTCCTGCAGCAGAGAGGTGATTAGGACGCGGAGACATGTCTTCAGATCAGACGGGTAGGTGTAAGCAATTCTTGTGCGTCTGTCTTCCCCAAAATGGATAAATGATGAAAATTTGTGCCAGTAAGTGGAGAATGCCAATTGTGCTAAAGGGGCTACTCCATTCCAGAGTACGAAGAGCGAGGCGATGCTGGCAGCTGTATCATCCAATTTAAGATTTTAGCAGTTAATTGAAAAGTCTATAGTCACATAGTTAGGGGGAATAAATAAATACGTCCATCAAATTCAACACAATTATCTCCAACTAATCAGAGAAAGAAAAAGTGTGGTGGGAATACTTTGCTGAATTAGGGAAAATTATTTCCTGAACCCCCTAAAAGCTTAAGGCTTCATGCACGGTCTGTTCTATTGACGCTTTTTTCTCCTACAGGAGTTTAGCTGCAGCAAAAACGCGGTAAAAAGGTGCGTTTTCGCAGGCGCGTTCACTCATAATTTTGCATGATTACATGTCTGGCATTAATACTGCACATTCTATTGGCCAGAACACTGGCTACTCGAATTCATTTAAAGCGGAGTTCCACCTAAGAAAAAAAATAAAAGTCAGCAGCTACAAATACTGTATATGGAATGTCAGTGAGCGCTATGGGTGTGTAGAAAGGTATAAGCTGCTGGCACTAAAGGACCACCCTTGGTATCCTTCAGCTACAAATACTGTAGCTGCTGACTTTTAAAATGCAGGCACTTACCTGTCCCTCGGTCCAGCATGTCCTCACCACCATTGGTTTCACCGGCCGTCTTCTCTCCCTGGTGCCGGCATCTTCAGTGTGGGACCCGGCTGTGACAGCTTGCGGCTTCACAGCCGGGTGCCCACTGCGCATGCGTGAGAAGCGCTGTGCTTTGTGAATGGCCTTGTAATATTCTGGGACCTGTCACGTGTCCCACAAGACTATGGGGAGGGAGGGGGGAGGACCACTTCCGCTTCTGATTGCCTAGATGATCGCGGCAGAAGTGGGAGCGGGCACCTGTTAAATTCGGGTACCCCCCTCCCCTCCAAAGGTGCCAATCCTTAATGGGGAGCGAGGGACAAAGGCTGAAAGAGGAACTTCCCCTTTTGGGTGGAGCTCTGCTTTAAGTAGAAATGTGCCCAATAGCTATAATGCTCATTTAGCGATTTTATGCTCAACAGCTCCTATCCTGAACGCACAAGTGATTTTTTATTGTCTGCCTCTAAACTCCAATGTGTGCATGGACCCATAAGAGGCATTTTGTCAGGAATGGACTCAGCACTGGTGGTGGGACTCACCTGCCGTGTGGGCTGCAGTACCAGAGCTGACCAGCGGGTGCTCTCAGCAGCCAGAAGCTCACACGTACAATCAGCCAAACCTGGGGCTGATTGCAGAAAGGTGTATTTAAGGCATGACCAGGCCTGTGCTCTGGGCCTTGGTGTATGTTTTCCCATGAGCCTCTGTACCCGGTATCCTGTGTTTCTGCTTCGTTGCTGACCCGGCTTGATCCCTACCCGTCTCCTGTTGAACCCCTGGCTTGCCTGACCATCCTTCTGCCTGATCCCCTGTACCGCGCTGCCCGTGAATTACTGAACCCGGCTTGTGACCTTGACCATCCTCTGCCTGCTCCTTTGGTACCTTGCTGCCCGCATGTTGCTGACTTGGCCCGTCTGACCACGCTAACTACTCTGCCATCCATCCATCCTGCACGGATCCAGCCGTACCTGCACATACCTCTGGCGGATCCCTCTACCACTAGCAGGTGTACTCAGGGGCCGCGACCTGGTTCCTGTCTGCTCCAAGTCCATCCCCACCATCAGGGGCCCTGGTGAATAAGCAGACTGGGACTTAGACTCCGTGCCCTGGGGAATCCTGTCCTGGGGACCAATAGAGGTACCACCAAACGGTCATTACAGAACCCTACGGCCGGCCTGACCGTTCCACCTCTCCAGCCCTGACTACGCCTGTGTTCCTGCACCTACTAAGATTAGTGGAAGGTTGGTTTGTTCACTGTGCGTTTATATATATATATATATCTGGGTGGCTAATAATAACCTGTATTATTATACTATACCTGAAACCTGCGTTTACCTGTGTCAGTCCACACCTTTCTGGTCATTCCTAGATTCCTGACACATTTAGAGGCAAAAACAAAAGCCAAACGCCTGTAAAAGCAGTGCCTTTGAGTTCAAGTGTGCATGAGGCCTAATAATATTTTTTTTTTAAATGTTTTTAGAAAAGTACAAAGCTATGTTTTTTTTCCCTTTTTCTACAAATTCATCTAAGCCTCTTTAAAGGAGTAGTATAGCCAAAGCTATTTTGGCTGTAGTACTCCTATGGATCACAGAAGTGCAGTTCATTCTGCAATCCTGTGACCCATTACTAGCCACCAGTGGGCTACATCACTCAGACAGTCCAGGCTCAGGATCCTGACTTTATATTTTTGATTCACCCACATGCCTGGACCGGCAGCTGGTTCAGCCTCTCGGCAAGCCACTGAGAGTCTGAGTCAGCTGCTCCCTCCTCCTCCACAGCCCTGAGCTCCAGTGAGCGCTGGAGGGGCAGAGCGGAGAGTGGTAACTGACAGTCACCACTCTCTGCACAGAGTGGAGGGGAAAACTGAACGGTCAGTGGTGTTTGATCACTCGGGGTAGAGGTGGTGGAGGACAGATGCAGCTGGGATCGGTGCTGCAACCATCTAGGTAAGTATGATTTTTTTTTATGTCCGCATACTTATTTTTTTAAAGAAATATATAGTGTTTTGGTAAATATATTATTTAAAGTGATTCTAAAGGCTTGTTTTTTTAAAAGAAAAAAGAACAAACATTTCTATACTTACCTGCTGTGTGCAATGGTTTTGCACAGAGCGGACAAGATCCTCCTTTTCTCGGGTCCTCCACTGGCGCTCCTGGCCCCTCCCTCCTGTCGGATGCCCCCACAGCAAGCAGCTTGCTACGAGGGCACCCGCTGTGCCATGTGTATA